CCTAGCCATTTTTGGTGAAATTTGGCCAACGACCCTGTACTATAGTACATGGTCGTTGGCCAAATTTTTGAGCAACTTAAAAAAATCGTAAAAAATCCAATTTTGATCGGAATCAGCTCAAACTTTCTACATAACATAAGTACATGTATATGTATCAGAAAAAATTATAAAAATAAAGATTTCTCTCCTAGCCATTTTTGGTGAAATTTGGCCAACGACCCTGTACTATAGTACATGGTCGTTGGTCAAATTTTTGAGCAACTTTTAAAAATCGTAAAAAATCCAATTTTGAGCGGAATCAGTTCAAACTTTCTACATAACATAAGTACATGTATATGTATCAGAAAAAATTATAAAAATAAAGATTTCTCTCCTAGCCATTTTTGGTAAAATTTGGCCAACGACCCTGTACTAGCCCCCCATTTTGGAGCAAATTTAAAAATTCAAAATAAATCCAATTTTGATCAGAGTCAGCTCAAACTTAATACATAGCACAAGGATATAATGTTGGATTAACTTACCATAGCGTTTATTCCAGCATGAAGTTTCACCACCGGTATACCACAAGATTCCAAAAATCTAGCAGTCCAATCACAGCTAGGGACAGAATTACAGAACACAATGCTGTAAGTATTACTATAGCCTTCAAGAACTTTCAAAAGAAGCTCTGAGTCAATGAAAGAAAAACAATGAATGAAGCATGGTTAGGAGATAACAATTTAAAATACCTGCTTTATGCTCAGCTATTACTTTGATAAACTTCTGCTCAACATTAGGAAGGATCTTATGAAGCTGCTTACTAGTGATCTTCTTAATATTCTACACAATACTAGAGTCACTCAATGAGATTATAGCCATAAAACGAACCGGGATTTTCTCGGTGAGCGATGTCAACATCCTGTTGGTGATTGTAGCAGAGACCACAGTCACTTGAGCACCTTCCCTCATGTCAGAATAATTTTTAGGTTTTACTTCTCTTATCTATTTAAAATGGCATTTAGCTGTCAAAGATTGCACACTGTAACAATTGGTTTACTTTCATCATTTTTAATAAGTTAAATGTAGTGTCTTCGAAGGACTGATCAAAGAGGCTATCAGCTTCATCAAGAACTAAATGTGACACATCAGAAAAGCTGATCCTGTCTATTAAAAGGAATTGATTGAACAAACACCAAACACTCATTGCTATTGGAACCTTGCTGCTTTAGCTTTAGTAATGAATCTGGTGTAGCTATCAAGACATCAACTGGCTTTGTCAATGCTTCCTTAATAAATCTCTATATTGATATACACATAACACATATATGCATGCAAGTATGTGCATATACATGTACATGAAATTGATATTATTTAAAACAATTCCTACCTTTTTCTTACCACCAATCGCCGCTACTATCCGAATCTTTACAACGTGAGAGAATAATTTCGCGACCGACTATAAAAAATCAAAATGATAATAAAACAATACTGTGCTTATAATAACTGACCAACACTTGATTAGCGAGGTCCCTTGATGGGAGTATAACGAGAGCCCGTGGTTTCTTAAACCTTGTTATCACACCCAATTGTTCTTCTTCATCTTTGAGTCGGTTTATCAATGGAGCCATGTATGCAATTGTTTTACCTGATCCTATTACCATACATATTAATGGGATTAAAGGACACTCACAATATTTGTTTATTTATTTACCAGTTTCAGCTGCACATAAAACATTACTCCCTTTTGTTATGTGAGGAATTGCTAAATTCTAAAACAAAGAAAGACGAGACATTAATCAACAGAAACAAAGAGCTACATATCATGACGTAATAATGAATGGGTATGTAACGCTACATGTACATGTACATGCAACAAAATAAGCTATAAAGTTAAGAGCGGTTCATTCAAATAAAATTTTCATACACATCAATGTCAAATTATACTAATTCACATATCAGCCATTTTTCACTAG